AAAGTACTTTAAATAGTACCCAACAAAAAGGGAGTGCTCAAAAAATGTTACTCATTGTTATTTTTAGAACTGGAAATGCCTTTTGCTTAAAATCTTTTCTCATGATGTGGTCACTAACATCTTAACCCAGGCACTCAGTCTCTTATATCTGAACAATTAAAACTGCCTCCGAAGCAGCCCCCTTTCTTCAATAGTTCAGGCTATATACTGCTACTATATTTGTCTTCCTAAGAAAGCCCTGTACGCTTATTACCATTTGGCTCATCAACGCCCTTGCTACAAATAATCCTAACTAAAATATTTATCTAAAAACCTGAAGTCTCTATGAAATGTCCTTACACACTTTTCCAACATATTCCCCATATAGGAATAGGGGGAAAAATTAAAATATGCTTCAAATGATTTGACATAAAAAATAAAGTCTGAAACAGCAAAGTACGCATATTACTTAGGGAACCAAGGGTAAATTCAAATCAAAGAGGTGAAAATGGCTACATCTGAGGAAGGAAAATGAGTGTGGTAAGAACCAGAAAGTGCTGCTATTGGTATAAATCTTGCATGTTCAACTTTTGCAAAAATAAAAACACAGAATGAGAGAGAAGAGAGGGAAGGAGGGAGGGAGAAGGAGGGAGGAGAGAGGGAGAGGAGAGAAAGATAGAGAGAAAGCGGGAGAGAGAGAAACAGGAAAGAAATAAAGAGACAGAGAAGAAAGGCAGAAGCAGAAAGGGATGGAGGGAGGATGGTTACCAGCTGGAACGAGTAGTATAATATGCAACTTGGATGCTCTTCCTACAGCAATGGGGTCTACCAGAGACCTATGGAAGGAAAGCGGGGCACCTCTGCTGATGTTAGGCAGCTGTCCTATTTATGGACTGAGGAGTTTGGATTTTAACCAGGGAGTAATAGTAAGTGATATTTACTGGACTCAATAGTAACACAATGGAAATATTTCTGAAAGATTAAATATTAATTATACTAGAAAGTAACTGAACTGGGAAAGGAACCGAGGAGGTAAAGCACAAGGTCTTCATGAATTGAGACCTGAGGTGATGAAAGCCGAGATCAGGGTGATGACTGTGGAAACAGGAGGATTCAATTTCAAGTCATTTTTCAAGAACACAGGGAATGGTCTGCTTGCCAACTAAACACGAAACTAAGGGAATAAAGGAGGAAAAAAGGAACACAATGTCCTCAGCACTGATAGGACCCGAAAAAACACTTAAAAAGTTAAAAGGAATTCCAGTTATAAACATGAAAGATAAACCTTAATACATAGCTTGGAATACTTAGTTCAATATTTTTATGTGGCTCTTTTTCATGGAAATCTCAAATGGCAAAAAAAATTATGGCTCTGGGGTGATGGGTCAAAGCTAAGGTCCCAGGTTCGATCCCTCACACGACATGACACTCTGAGCACAACTCAGAGTGCCCAATCACCCCCAGCATCACTGGACTTCAGTTGTGCCATATGGTCAGTCTAAGCATTGATCTGTTTGTCCTAGCTGATCCATCACTGGGAGTGGCCCCTGGAGATGCCTGAGGACTGCCTTGGAGGTCTGAAAGGAAATATTACACATTGAAAACCTCCAAATTGTGCCTCAATTCATATAAAACAACATGAACAAAACTTTCATTAAGGGACTTAGTAAGAAAGAGTAACTTTAAATAATTCATTATCACAGAAATGACATTTATTGAGTCATACCCCTTTTAATTTAAAAGTATAGCCAAAAGCTTTAAAAATATACTAAATAGAGACTTAAGAATCCTACCCTTGACCACATAGGCTTCTATCTCAACTACTTCCCATTTCTTTTCTCCCTATTAGTAGAATAAAAGCTTCCCAAAAAAATGTCTGTTCTACTCTCAGTTTTTCTTCTGAAACAGTAGATCTAGCTTTTGGACTACTTGCTCCACCAAAATGTCTCTTGCCAACTGCCAAATAAATACAATGTTCATTTATTATTCTTCATCTTTCTTGATCTATCAAACAACAGTTGACACAATATCCACTCTATCCTCCTAAAACGCTGTCTTCACTTGATTTCCAGGTCAACACAGTCTTGATTCTTCCATTTTTGTCTCTTATTCTGATGGTTCCTCTTTTTTCCCTCAACGTTTTAATGTTTGAGTGCCTCAGGGACCAGACTTGCCGCTACTCTGTTTTATGCCACAATAGCTTCTCCCGAACAACTGCCAAAGGATTATACCCGATCTTCCTGTGTTCACCCTTGCTCCCTCTAAGTTACTCTCAAGAAGGCAAAGATAATTCTAAAATGCTAACTACTTCTTTGCAACTTACATGCAACTACTTCTTTGCTAAAGCACTTCTGATGATTTCCTAATTTTATTTGTGGTAAAGGTAAAGGCAGGTAAAGGTAAAGGCCCTCCTGTTGATCGTCGATTTGCTCGAGCGGGCCCAGTAACGTCTCCATTGGAGACTTTGTTGTTACTGTGTCTGGCATATCCAATACTCTCGGTAGCTTGCCAGGCTCTCTGAGAGGGGCGGAGGAATCGAACTCAGGTCAGCCATGTGGGCCACTTGTAAGGCAAACGCCCTACCCGCTGTGCTATCGCTCCAGCCCCCTTATTTGTGGTAAGAGCAAATATCCTTACAATGACTAACAAATTTTGTCCCACTCCCACTTACCTTTCTGTCCTCATCTCCTTCTTGCTATTCCTTGACCACCTTAGTCTCACTGCTGCCACTGGGTCTTTGCACTTACTTTTCCCTGTCCCTGGACCATCCTTTCTCCCTTATCACTATCACTGAGCGTTTCACTCTTTACACAAATAAAGGCACTCGCCTGACCATTCTAATACCACACTCAACTATATAACTCCCCATGCCCCCTTCTTTGTTTTACTATTTTACAGCATTTATCATCATACGATACACTATATTCTTGCTTTGTTTATTGTTTCTCCCCCTGGGGAAAACTTTAAATTTAAGTTTGTAAGAATAGAAGGTCTATTTCCTTCACTGCAGTATTCTTTTGCATGGCTGAGTCTGGCAAGCTCCCCGTGGGGTATTCGATATGCCAAACCCCAGTAACAACGATGGGTCTCATTCTGCTGACCCTGAAAGAGCCTCCAATGTGGCACTTGCTAAAATCTCAGGGCTAGGACGAATGGAGATTTACTGGAGGCTGCTCGAGGAAATCGATGAATAACGGGGTGACAGTGATACAGTGATACAGTATTCTTATCACACAGAATAGTGTGTGAGGATTTTCAAAGATTTCTTGAAAGACAGTGAAGAAATGAATGACTGAATTTAAGAAAGAATAGGAAAAAAGAAAAAGAACAGAAAGGCAAACAGAGGAAAGAGAGGGGAAGAAAAAGAAAGAAGGAAACGACTAAAATAATGCAACGGTTCAATAGGGTTGGCTGCACTCTACACTATAGGATCTGTTTTGCTTCAAAGCCCATACCACTCCAGTCCAGAGCCAGTTAAGGAGTTTCTAGTTACAACAAATATCTAAAGAATTTCGGGGTTAGAGAGATCGTGCAGCAGGTAAGCTGTTTGTCTTGCACTAGGCAGACCAGTTTCACCCCCTGGCACTTCATATGGTTCCCTGAACACCACCAAGAAGTGATCCCTGAGCACAAGCCAGGAGTAAGCCCTGAGCACCGGGAGGTGTGGCACCAAAACCAACCCTTACTCCCAAATAATTGAAATAAACTCAGCAAGGAATAGCTTAATAAAGAAAAACAATATGAGGAAACACCAGCTATCTTTAAAATACGATTAGAAAATTATCCAATCAGAATGAGTTATTTAAAATTCAACTGTAAATAACAGCACTGGAGCACTGTCCTCCTATTGTTCATGGAATTGCTCGAGTGGGCCCAGTAACGCGTCCATTGTGAGACTTGTTGTTACTGTGTTTGGCATATCGAATACATTACGGGTAGCTTGCCAGGCTTTGCCGTGCTCTCCGAGAGGGGCAGAGGAATGGATCCTGGGTCGGCTGGGTCGGCCGCGTATAAGGCAAACGCCCTACCTGCTGTGCTAAAACTATAGACAAGTATATATAATTCTTTCTCCAAAATCAAAATGTGACACTGAACATCACTCAAAGGAGTGATCTTCACGGGACAAAGAAAAAATGAGGAGTAATCTGTGAATGTTTCTAGCTTCTGAGATACTGCAAAGGGGTTCAAAGAAACTTGAGTAAGTTAGATTTCTTAATTTTGGTAATAGTTTCACAGACTGTTGTGTGTATATGTGTGTGTGTGTGTGTGTGTGTGTAAGAGAGAGAGAGAGAGAGAGAGAGAAGAAAATTTATTCAACTGTCCACATTACACACATGTCATTTATTTTGTTAAATTATTCCACAATAAAGCTGTATAGAAATTAATCTGACTTAAATTTAACTTAAAAACCAAAACCGTTAGACTGCCTACATTGGTTAGGCTTCAAACAGAAAAATAAAATAGGAAAAAGCAAAGACTCTGAAAATATGTCTAGGTTTTAAAGGATTAGAATGGATCATAGAGACCAAATAGTGAAGTACTTTCTGTTAGAGATAAAGGAATTGGATCCCAGAGGTTTAGCGTCTGCCTGAGATCTTCCATTATAGTTAACAGCCCACAATACTATCAGATCCACAACGACAGAACTGTGTTATTTAGATGACTCCATATCCCAATACCTAATGGAATTCCTGAGACATAATCCAAGTTCCATAAATATTTGTTGACCCTGGAGAGAAGGTGAAAAGGAGAGAAAAAACTCCCTTGCAGTATGATTGAAAGTTCCTTATACCTTTAATTCTCTTGTTTCTTTAATATGAAAGAATAAAACACTAATTTTCTTTTGTTGCTGTTGTTGTTTTTCTTTCTTTTCTTTGTTTTTTGAAACACTACATAATTATACTGTGTATTTTAATTCTTTATGTCAAACTTACAACACATAAACAAGCTCCCCCCAACTCTAGAAAACCCTTCATTCATGAAAATTCATATTTTCATTTAAAAAAAAGTTAGAGACTTACCAAAAATTTCTCCATTTTTGGCATATTCTGTCACAAGATACAGCATACTTTTGGTCTCCATTACCTGTTGATAAATAGTCCCATATCAGTGTCAGAGGAAAAGGCAGCACAATATCCTATGGTGTTATTTAAAGTCAAAATCATTGAGAGAGGCGAGCACTGTGGGAGCTTCTTGCTGGACCCCAGCAGCCCCATACTGCTAGGCCAGCACTGATCAGACAGCCTCTCAGTCTGGGAGTGGCCCTGGGGGCCTGAGCCCTGCTTAGGGGGCTCCTGTAAGGAAAATGAGCCAAAGAATTGATGTGATGAACAGTTCAGAAGCTGGTTATGTTTCCAAGACTCGTGACAACTTTTTACTTTGCATTCTGGTATTAGGGATGGAACCCAGAACCTCACACGTAAGAGGCAAGCACACACCCTATCACTGAGCGACAGCTTCAGTCACAACAATACACTTGCTAATTATTTTTGCATGCAGACTAATTTTATTAAAAAAAAAAATCTAGAGCTATGCTCTTCCAAGTGGGATTCACAGACCTCAGCAGCAAGAGCATTGCCCAGGCGACCGTCTGAAGTGATGAATCTCACCCCAGACTTTCTAAAAACAGAATTTGCGTTTTAACAAAATCTCCAGGTGACTTTTTTGCGCATCAAGTTTGAGAAATACTAATATCTTATTATTTAGTCACAGGAAAAACTCCTGTTAATAGAGTTTTAAGATTAACTTGGGAAAAGAAACAAAACAAACCAAAACACTCTCAAAACATAACAATCTCACTGACTTTTCCGGCTCTGTGTTATCATGTAGTCTTATTAAAATAGAGAATAATACATTAGAGGTCAGTTTATCAGGTCTGCAGGATAGTTACTCTGACACAATGTAGTGTTCCTCCCACTCTACTTTAAAATTGTTAACAAATATTGCAACTTAAAAACAGTGTTCAAAGGCTGTTCTTTACAATTCTATTAAATTATCCTTTTATTTGGGCCTGAGGAGCGATAGTACAGAGGGTAGGGCATTTGCCTTGCACGCGGCCGACCCCACCGACACAGGTTCGATTCCTCCGACCCTCTTGGAGAGCCAGGCAAGCTACTGAGAGTATCTCGCCCTCACAGCAAAGCCTGGCAAGCTACCTGTGATGTATTTGATATGCTAAACACAGTAACAAGTGTCACAATGGAGACGTTACTGGGCCCACTTGAGCAAATCGATGAACAATGGTAGGACAGTCACTGTCACAGTCCTCCCGTTGTTACTATGTTTGGCATATTGAGATACTCTCGGTAGCTTGCCCTACCGGGCTCTCCAATCCTTTTATTTAAGTAAGTTTAAAGGAGGTGTGTTATTGTCACAAACTTGATCTTTCAATCTACTCTAAAGTCTACTTATAATAGGAAATGAATTCACTAATTAAATGACTGAATTTCAGACTGCTTCTTTGTAATATGTCCTTCTACACCAGTACATGTTAATCTCAAGTTTAAGTGCCATGTACTGAAAAGGCTGAAACTAAGTTTCTTCTAACACATAGTTCTAGTATCATCCCTATCAGGCTAGAAATCTAAGAATTACTTATAACTTGGGACAAGTTAAAAAGTCAATTAGTTTCTAAGATGATTTCTAAACTGTGGATTCTTGATAATGATTACATAAAAAGTAAAATCTTATTGTTTAATCTCAAAAAAGTCAATTAATTTAACCGATTAATTCAAATGAAGACAAAATTATGATATGAAATATGGGTGTGCCCTCAGTTTGACTCTGTTTCATGAGATTTTTTGCTTTTGGGTAAACTCCTCTCAAGGGTTATGCTTGGGGGTCACCTCCTGGCAGTGTTTTTGGGACCATATGATGTTTTTGGGAATCAAATCTTGGGCTTCCAAATGCAAAGCACGTTCTCAGTCCTTTGAGCCATTTCCCTGGCCTCTCCTCAGATATTTCAAAAGGATGATGTTTAGTTTCTTATGATTATCCTCTTTAAATATTGTACAGAAAAAGAAAAAGCCTAAACAGAAAGCTACACTGATAAAAATTTGACCTTAGCGGTCCTCTGGAGTTCTGGAACTTAAGGAATTATTTTGAGTGGAACAACACAGTTAGTAACTGTATTAGCACTACTGTAGCTAATGATAATGTTAATGTTCTTCAATGATCTCCATTGTTTTCAAATTGCAAATATCTATAAAAAGCTGTTAAGCCTATACATGTAATATGTGCATGTATATATGTACATATGTTTTTATATACAAAGACACAAATAACATTCTTATACCACCATATATATTCTGCTTAATATAAAATGCACAGGAGAAGATAAATACGAATATTTTTTATTACAAGGTTTCTATGGAAATAAAAAGGTCCTTAGCTATAAACTGTCTGGTGTGGTATAAATATATTCCTACAATCATTGCTGATTTTAAACTACTAATGTGATTAATTGTTTGGCAAAACTTCTGAAAATGTAATAGTCGTGAGTCAGTACAGGCAGAGTCTAGCATACCAGGGTGACAAATCATACTCACAGATCAAAGTCATAGGCCAGTAGACTGAAATATTTGAATTTAAAAAGTTTTCAAAATAAAAGTATGATTAACAGTTTTGTGTCTCAATAAAAATGGTTAAAAATTTGTTTTCAAAATAAATTTCTCTAATACAAAAATTCTACATATTAATGAATAAAAATGTGAAAGAAAACTTTGGTACTACATAATCATTCAAGCATGAATTAGTTTTTAAAAACCTGAGACAGTCTTCCATTTAAAAAACAGCTTATCCTTAAAATATAGTTTACGAAATTGTGTCTAATTATAGTTGATATTTTAAAAAGTAGTTGATTTCTTTTATTTGATAAAATAACCCAAAACATAATATTTGGCTCTGACTATTGAAAAATGCAAGTAACATATTACTTTAGCTTTTGTATTTCATAAAGCATAAAATGATTCAGTTTTAAATAAGTAAAACCCCGTTAAAGGCAGAGTCGTCAAAACTTAGCTGGGCATCATAAATTTACAACTGCAAACTTTTTAATGAAATAGTTTACAGTTTGTAAAACGACTTAAAATTACATTACTAGTATTTTTTATTTCCAAATTTTTAAGTATGGGAAATGAAAATATTCACTGTAATTAAAGCATATAATTATCCTTTTTCAGGCATTGCTCGAGTAAGTAAAGTAAAGTAAAGGCCCTCCCGTTGATCGTCGATTTGCTCGAGCGGGCCCAGTAACGTCTCCATTGGAGACTTTGTTGTTACTGTGTCTGGCATATCGAATACTCTCGGTAGCTTGCCGGGCTCTCGGAGAGGGGCGGAGGAATCGAACTCGGGTCGGCCATGTTGGCCGCGTGCAAGGCGAACGCCCTACCCGCTGTGCTATCGCTCCAGCTTTCAGGCATTAAGAAAAACTAATATGAGAGAAAGATGATGATGCCAAATAAAACATTAAATGTGAGAAGCATGGAAAGGCGTGGTGCCAAATCCTACCTGATAAAGTTTGATTATATGAGGATGGTCTAACAACTTCATTATTTGTACTTCTCGGTAGATTTTCTCAAGGTTCACTGCATCCAGCTGAGATTTATCTATGATTTTTATCGCCACCTGCATCCCAAACACAAATAAATATAATTATCACTTTTCTTTCCCATTTAAGAATTATTTTTTAATAAATGACACTTAAGATGGGTAAGACAATGAAGAGAACTGACTTAAATGCAGTGCTCATTCACTCTGCAAATATTTCTCACACCTCTATTGCAAAGGGGCACTGTGGTGGATTTTGTCTGGGAGTGTTACCAGTGTACTATGAAGAATAACCCTGTCAAGTGACTTTAATGAAAAACAGTTTCCTTCCAGTACTTCTGGAATGCTCTTTTACTCCATTTATATCCAAAGAAATAAAATCTTAGTGGTTTCAACTAGTTATCTACTAGTTATCTTCCATTGTAATGTACTATAAACAAAAGATCAGACAAGTTGGAGATTGTTTCTGTTACACTGAAATAAAATTGTTCCTAGAAAAGTTAGTGAAGGTCCTAGAGAATAGACATACCCTATTCTGAGAAGAAAAAAAAAGGCTAAATAAAAAGTCATAAAACCCTTCCACATTAAAAAATACATTTTGATTTTGAAAAAAATTGAATAGCTCTAATGCTACAAAATTTTCTTTTCTTTTTCTTCTTTGTGAGGGTTTGGGACCACATCTGGAGGTACTTAGGGCTTATTCCTGGCTCTGCACTCAGGGATCACTCCTGCAGGGCTCAGATGATAATGTTGTTTTGGGGATTGAACCAGGGTAAATTATGTATGACACAAGAACCCTACCCATTGTACTATTTTTTCAGCTCCAAATTTTATTTTCTTAAATGTTAGTTTATTATCCTCCAGTTGTTCATCGATTTGCTTGAGCGGGCCCAGTAACATCTCCATTGTGAGACTTGTTGTTACTGTGTTTGGCATATCGAATACGTCACGGGGAGCTTGCCAGGCTTTGCCGTGCTGGAGCCCAGCTGGAGCGGTAGCACAGCCGTCGGGCATTTGCCTTGCACACAGCCAACGTGGCTGACCCAAGTTCGATTCCTTCGCCCCTCTCGGAGAGCCCAGCAAGCTACTGAGAGTATCTCGCCCGCCCGGCAAAGCCTGGCATGCTCCCCGTGACGTATTCGATATGTCAAACACAGTAACAACAAGTCTCACGATGGAGATGTTACTGGGCCTGCTCGAGCAAATCGATGAACAACAGGAGGACCGTGACCGTTACTTTATTATAATAATAAAATGTGGCCTCTTCCTGTAATAATTGACTAGGCACCCGAAACCATTTCTAAGGTTAGTATTTTGAAACAATTACATCTGAAGGTGACTTAGGTAATCAGAAATCATTCATGCAACAAAAAGATTTTTAAAAAATTAATATAAATTTGGTTGAGAAATAAGGTATTTTAGATAACTGGAAACTACTGTTTTTTTTTTATCGTTTTCAGCTTTTTTTTTTTTTTTAGAACCACATCCAGCAGTGCTCAGAGCTTAATCCTGACTCTACACTCAAGGTTCACTCCTCAGGGGACCATTTGGGGTGCTAGGGATTGGACCCAGGTTGGCCACCTATAAGGCAAGTACCCTACCCGCTGTACTATTACTCGAGTCCTACCTTCTTCTCATATGGCCAATATGTTCTTTACTGTTACCCCTTAAAAATCTCTTGTTAAGTTTATTTCTTACTTTTCCGATTTCTAATTTGCTATCCATAGCTTGTTTCCTGAATTGAAATAACTGTAACTGTAACCCGTAGAAGACCTCAAGTTTCTCCGGAGAAATCATATTACTAACTATAATGCATACAATTAAGTCCACTGCTTAAAAAGAATATGTGCTATGTGGTCAGTAAAGTACAAAGGTTTTGTGATAGCTATTTTTAATATGTTTGGGAGTAATTTTTACATTTCTATCAACAAAATGTTCAATAATGCAAAAGATGCTAAACTTTGCTAGATTAAGTAAGCTAATTAAATACTCACTCGCTGTTAAAAATATTACTGAACAACCTCAAACCTAAAAATATTTAATGTGTTCCCCACCTCCCTACTACAGACTACAACAATGCCCATTATTATCCATTACTTTGTTACTTATTATCAGTTATTTGTTACTTTGTCTAATAATTGCCAGATAAAAATGTAAGTGTATACTTGAATTTCCTCAGTATTACCTAGGGAGATAACAGGAGTTTCACAGAGTAAACATTTTGAAGAAAATTTATGTCCTACAATTTCTGGAGTTTGTCTAGATACATGATCTTTTCACCAACAAGAAGCTTTCACAGGGGCTGGAGCTATAGCACAGTGGGCAGGGAGTTTGCCTTGCAAGCGGCTGACCCGGGTTCAATTCCCAGCATCCCATATGGTCCCCTGAGCATCAACAGGAGCAATTCCTGAGTGCAGACCCAGGAGTAACCCCTGTGCATCGCGGGTGTGACCCAAAAAGCTGAAAAAAAAAAAAAAGCTTTTTCAATAAAATGGCTCTCGACCATGTAAAAAGAAAACCATCCAAGAGAAAATAATCCTGTTTTTAAAAATTTCAATGTGAATAACTAAGAAAATTTTAGTATAAGCTTATCTTGAATATAATATTTAACATTAAAGAAAAAGTTTGGATACTAAATACCAATTAAAGCGATTGCTTTAAATACTAATTAAAGCAACAGCTATTGCTTTAATTGGTATTTCCTCTATTATACTCTGTTGGAGTCTTGCTAACAATGAAAAAATGAAAAATATATAAATTACTACGTCAGTCTTTTAAAATAGTCATAATCCACATTATTTAACTTTTTTTCAAACAAGAAATTTCACAAATCGCAAAATATAATTCCTTGATTTTTTTTTTCTTTTTCTTTTTTTCCTCTTTCTAGGGGTGGGGAGTAATGGTTTGAGGTCACACCCGGCAGTGCTCAGGGGTTACTCCTGGCTCTGTGCTTGGGAATGACTTCTGGCAGTGCTTGGGGCACCATATCGGATGCTGAGACTTGAACCTGGGCCGGCCATGTACAAGAAGAAAAGCAATCTCCCTGCTGTACTACTGCTCAGGCTCCAATCCTTGATTTTCTTTTGGGAAACAGACCATGTCATATTTTATTTCACATATACTAGGTACCCAGGTCTTCAACCACAGTTCCACAGATTGGTGCCGGGCTGCAGGGGTAGAAAGTTTGGAAACTACCAGTCTCCCATACCTTGGTTAGAACTGCATGTCTGTGGACACTACTACTGCACAGGTATTGATCCACAGATTTAACAAGGTTGAAGAATGCTGTACAGTAAATGTATGTACAGTGTATAAACATGCACACACATATGTAGTACATACATTTCACAAGTCTGTTTACTTATATCTTCACACTATTATCTCTTACTGTGAAGCTGCTATAAGAAGATTATGAAAAGGCACTAAAAAAGCCAGCATAGCTTGCTTGTTATAAACAGGGTTAATTTGGCTGCTGTAACATGTAGATCCCCCAAATACGACTCAGAGACAATGGAAGTTTTTTTTCCTGCTCATGGAGCAAATGTGAATGGGTGAAGCCAGTGAGTAGGTGGGCCTCCCTTTCAGGCCAGACAGCAGAGGAGAAAGCTCTGAGGAGCCCATGAAAGGTTTTATGGGCCATGTCTGGTATCGCCCCACATTATTTTGTGGTCACTCCACTACTTAGAATTTGGTTTGTGACCATACCTAATGTCAGGAAGGCCAAGAAATCATTTGTTGGAGGCTCAGGAAGAAGAAATGAAATTGTTGCTATCTGGCTTATAAACAATCTCTACCATACTCCATACTCTTGCAGGTAATTTCTTTTCCTTTTTTTTTTTTTTTTTTTTGTTGTGGTTCCCAAGCAATGCGTAGAGGCCCAACGGGTGACTGTGGTTAACACTCAGCTGACTCAGAAGCCAAGGAGGGGTGCTGCTCAGCCCTGTAGAACCAGAACACGGCCACACTGGTGCTGCAGGGGGCTGTGGGACTGGGTATGTGCTCAGGGCTAAGCTCAGGCCATGTGCTGCCAGGGACAGAACCTAGGTTGTGCCCATGTATGCCCTAACCCCTGTACTATTTCCTAGGTCTCTCTTCCAGGTAATTTCTTAACAATGGGACTCTTTACCAATATTTCTTGGCAAAACAATAATGGGGATAATTATATTGGCTTTCACAACTACTGTTTTTTTTTTAAAGGGCGTTTCCCCTCCCCCCCCCCCCCTCCAGTGTTCAGGAGCCATCAGGTTGCACCTAGATTTTGCTGAGATGGAAGAGGGCAGGGTATTCAGACCATGCTGGGGGGTGAGTTTGGGGCCCTGCTCATGCTAAGCATGTGCTCCACCACTTGAACTATTTCTCTGGCCGCAGCTACATAGCACTTAATTTAATAAGATATTCAAATGTATTTCATCTTACCTAAAGGGCCCTGTATCTCAAATTTGTGCGGTAATTGGGGAGACCAGTCTGCATTAAAGAATCAAAGAATCTAAGGTTTCAAGAGGTGTTACATAATCTACATAGATTCCAAAAGCCCAAGTGAATTAATGGGGAAAATTGCAAGCCTTCTAACACCAAGTTCAGTCATTTCATGATCTCAAATAGCCTGTTATTCACACATTTATTAAACACATGTTGTATACCTGAAATTATGTCTGCCATACAAAAATTAATGAAGTTCATTTCCTACCTTCAAAGTCTGTGAGAACAAAGGGAGCACATTTTGGAAAGCAAACTTTATCCACCAAAAAATATGCATCTTGGAATTTTTCCAATAATGTATTTCTCCACTTTACAAAAGTGTTGTGTTCTAATATTTCACTTTAAAGGAAACTAGAAATTTCTAGATTTCTAAGAACTTAATCTCTGTATTACTTTCTTAGGTCTAAACACTGTACGATGAACAAAACCCCCAGAGCCGTAACAAGGGAGACTATTAACAAAATTGTCTAATAACTAAAGCAAGGGACCCTATTAACTAAAGGACCCTATTAACTATTTTCTATTATTGTCAATCTAAATTATACAACACTGTGATTCCTAATAAGACATGCATTCTCTTTTAAAATATCATTTTATGA